GAGTCTATATAGAAACTGTGTGTGCATTCCTCCGAGTCTATATAGAAGCTGAGGGAGTATAAGGAAACCTAGCTGGATTCACACACTTCTTCCCGTACAGACTTCGTGAAGACGCGGCAGCTTTGAAAGCTGCCTGGGATGCCCAGATCACTCAGATGTCCAAGGAGGCTGTCTCCAAAGACCTTCAGGTTCAGATGCTACAGGAAGAAGAGGTGAAGCTCAAGGCACAGGTGGCCAGGTTCCAGAAGGACATAGACAGGTACTATCTCAAGGCAGGTCCTCGGGATTGGAACTGCAGGAAAAGAAACTTGGTCCTGCCTTCTCTGGGGGAGGAGCAGTAAAAGAGACGCAAGCAGATTGTGGTGGTAAAGAGAGCAGACCCCCAAGCCAAGAGGGCATGCCCACAAACCTTTGAGATGAAGACTCTCAGGCTTCAAGGAAAGCAGCCAAAGGGCTGATGGGTGCTGAGGAGTGGCCACTTCCTCTACCTTCAACACGCTTGTGTTTTAGCTTTAACCCCAGCACTCTGAAGCAGAGGCAGGCAGGTTTTCATGAGTTCAAGGACAACATAGCATTCTGGGACATCAAGACTACATAGAGGGGGCTGGAGAGATGGCTCAGTGGTTAAGAGCACTGGCTGCTCTTCCAGAGGTTCTGAGTTCAATTCCCAGCAACCACATGGTGGCTCACAACCATCTGTAATGAGATCTGGCACCCTCTTCTGGCGTACGGGCATACATGGAGGCAGAATGTTGTATACATAAGAAATAAATAAAGAAAAAAAAAAAGAAAAAAAAAGACTACATAGAGAGACCCTGTTTCAAAAAAAAAAAAGAAAAAGAAAGAAAGAAAAAGAAAGAAGGAAGGAAGGAAGGAAAGAAAGAAAGAAAACAAATTTAAATTTAAAAACATGTTTCCTGTTCATTGTAAGGACATATGCTTGATTGAAGGCAAGGGCCTATTTTCCATTAATAACCAAGTCAGGCAGGTGTAAAGCACTGTCCACAAGACGAATCTGGGTGACCACAGACACATGCACCCTACCCTCTAACCCAGACTCCTGTGGGGTGGGGCCACCTGAACTGGGCATCTGAGTGTGACATCTTGACTCTAGCGTCTTCACCACTTTGAGGTTAGGATGCTGCAGATTCTTTTTGATACTCAGTACTCTTGTGATGCTTGAGTTCGTAGCTGCCTTTTATTTTTTGGAAGGGGGGCAGGTTTCAAGACAGGGTGTCTCCGTGTGATTACAGTTCCAGATGTCTGGAAACTCGCTCTCGAGACCAGGCTGGCCTTGAACTCACAGAGATCCGCCTGCCTGCCTCCTGAGTGTTGCGATTAAAGGCATGCACCATTACCCAACTAGCTGCCTTTTTTTTCTTTTTCTTTCTTTCTTCTTTTTTAAAAAAGATTTTTCCTCTCTGATATTTTTTTCTGTTCATTTGGTTCTTTGTGTCTGTCTGTCCACTTCATCTCACTGTTGCACACATTCCTGGCTCCTGTTACCTTGCTGCATGTGCCCCTCTTGCTCACACACTGAGCATTTATGGCCTCTCCTTCACTCCCGCCCAGCCTTACTACGGGCTTATCAGGTCTGTTGATTTTCTGATCTTGTGAAGAACCAGCTTTTCGATTCGATTTTTTTTCAACTGTTTTTTTTTTCTGTTTTCAGTTTTACTACTACTTTCTTCTATTTCCTTTGGATTTGGTTATTTGTTCCTATTGATCTTGACAGTGGAGCCAAGATGATTTACTCTGAGACATCCTTCCTCCCATCAGATACGATTTGTGCTATAAATTTCTTTTCAAACACAGCTTAGCTACACCCAACAAATCCTGGTGCTGTTCAGCTGAAATACTGAGTCTCCTGTATGTTCTTCTCTGGCCAGGAGATGATTTAGAACCATGTTGCCTAATCTCTGGTGATTTTAGTCCCAGTACTATTTGTCAGTGATTCCGACCTAACCCGGCCCTGCACCTTGCACAACTGACTTTCTATGCAATCTGTTTCATGGTTTTGGAATGTGCTCTGCCCTGATGGCTGGCTAAGTAGACCTAAAAGATAAAGCATGCTCTTGTTGCAGCCTGGGCTCTGAAAATGTCACCTGTACCACTCTGGTGGCTAACAGTATTCTTGTCTCCCATGTCCTTGTGATCTGCCTACTGGTTCTGTCGGTTATAGAAAAGTATAACCCTCTGCTCTGTCTTCAGCTCTGATGTCAGGTGCATCTGCATTTAGGATTGTACCGGCTGCTCACTGATCGTGCTGGGTTTTGTACTAGTGTGGACAGGCCCGTTTGCCCCCTCTGTCCTCAGACTGCTGTCTGACATGGACCCTCTGCTCTTCCTGCTTTTCCAGCTTTCATGTTCCAGTGGCACATGCTCCAATTTTGCCTCTCTATTCAGGGGATTTTTACAGTCCAGTCCTGGTTTAGCTGTGACACCTTCAATTCCTGTTCGTACACTGGTTCTCTCTGCTGAGTGTGGCCACCTCCCTCCAGCACCATTTTCTCCAGCATTTGGAAAAGTTTGATATCTGCCCGTTATGCTCACCTGTCCACATGTGTTAGTGTTCCTCCAGGTCTCTCATAGGAGAGCTTCTCCCTGCACCATGCATGCATCCTTCCTTAGTACGAGCTACAGTTGAGATGGGAAGGACGCGGAAGAGCATCATGTCAGCCCTTCATCCTGCATTCTGCCTTTGCTTTTCATGTTGAAGGGACCTCAGGAAAGAAAGTTAACGTGGTGTAGTTTTATTTCTTTGCTCTTTGAGGGACCCGCCCCCCAGCTCCCAGATAAATATACAGAGAGGTTTATTCTTTTTTATGAATGCCCAGCCTTAACTTGACTTATTTCTAACCAGCTTTCCTTAACTTAAATTATCCCGTCTACCTTTTGCCTCTGGACTTTTACCTTTCTCTAATTCTGCATATCTTTCTTTACTTCTTACTTCGTGGCTTGCTGGACAAGAAAAGTCCTCCTCCTTTTTTTGCTCCTCCATCTCCTTTTCCCAGATTTTTCCTCCTCTTTATCTTCTCTGCCTGTCAGCCCCGCCTATCCTTTCTCCTGCCTATTTATTGACCATTTATCTTTTTATTAGACCAATCAGGTGTTTTAGACGGGCAAAGTAACACAGATTCACAGAGTTAAACAAATGCAACATAAAAGAATGTAACACATCTTTGCATCATTAAAACAAATGTTCCACAGTATAAACAAATGTAACACATCTTAAAATATTTCACAACAACATGGGACATTGGACTATGTCTATAGGTACAAGCAGCAACTGTCCCTGGCAGTGGAAAGGGAACAGAGCCTGGAGCGTGACCAGGTGCAGCTGGGCCTAGACTGGCAGCGCCGTTGCGATGATGTTGAGCGAGACCAGATCCAGAAGTCAGAGACTTTGATTCAAGGGCTGACCAAGGCCAGAGACCAGGTGTGTTGGCTAGTTCTGGGTGCGGCGTTCATGCAGTACTGTAGAGGATGGGTTTGGCCCTTGCCATGTTAGTTTTTTTACTCAGAAAACACAAAGCCTCAAATACCAGTTAATTTATAGCAGTGAGTCACAGCCACACTGGTGCAGTGATGGGGCCCTGCAATCCCAGCTGCTAGGGGAAAGGAAGGATCCCAAGTTCAAGGCCAGTCTGAGTACAAATAAGTCTCTGCCCTATCCCCAGATGTATTCATCATATGAGCTGTTTTCCTTAACTGCGGCCTGGTTTTGAGAGTGCTGAGACGGCCCCTCCCTGACCAGGGCAAACTCGGTACCATAGCTGAACAGGAAAGTCCTGCCCCACCACTAGGTGGCCCTAGCGCTCTGAGTGCTGTCCACTCTCTAAGCGGGAGGGTGCTGGTTCCCGCCCACTGATGGACGTTTTCCCAGGTTGCTGCTAAGCTCCAGGAGACAGAGAAGGCGCTGCATCAACAGGAGACGTTGCTGAAGGCTGTGTCACTGGAACGAGACCAGGCCGTGGAGACTCTGCGGACACACGGGCTAGTCCCTGGACAGGACTCACAGGTGAGCCCCCTGCTGGCTTGAAGAGCCTTCCTTCCCTCTGTCCACAGCTGCAGGAGAGACTTCCGTGTCCACTAGGTCGGCTTGGGCTTTCTCGGTCCAGCCCCTCTCAACGAGGGCAAGTCCAAAGCTTTACAGCGTTAAAGCGGGCGTTCCAGTGTGAAGACTGCTCTGCTCTTTAGCCCTCGAAGCTCCATCCCTACATCCAAAGGCGCCACTCGACACTAGGGGGCAGTGTCGAGTCACTGTTGAGTCTCGAACCGCTCATCGTTAAATGCTCAGGCTTTACCTCCCGAGACCATTAATTTGCTAACTCCGTCTCTTAACTTTATGTTTATATTTATTATTGTTGTTGGAGGGAGCCACGGCAAGCATTCGCAGGTCAGAGGCAGCTTGTAGAGTTGGTTCTCCCCTTCCACCTTTATGTGGGAGCAAGCATCAAAGCCTACAAAGGCATTGCACTGGTCTCTTCTTCATAGAGGTGGATACTACCGCCATGGAGACCAATCTGCCTAAGCTGTTGCAGTTGTCAGCAGGACTAAATTCCTAGACAGAGGGACTGGGAGGGTTCAGGGTGGGGGCTCAGGGGGCTTGCGGGGGGGGGGGGGAGAGGGGACCCTAGGACTGTGAGGGGAGGGGATAAGATTATTCCCGGCCTGCAAAAGGTTTTTTTTCCCTGGTTTTTTTTCTTTTTTCTTTTTTTTTTTTTTTTTTTTTTTTTTTGAGGTGTACTCACCACCCCTCAGTGTGGTGAAATGAAGGTCCTAGCACCCTGAGCAGTGAGACTGGTGAGAGAATGTACCATGTCTACTTCCAGCAAGCATTTTCACCCTATAAAGTCCCTACACCCTTCCCTTGGTCCTACTTCCCTACCCAATCAATCCTCATTGATTCATTTCTCTGCCTTTTGCGTCTGTTGCCATGGAGGACCAGGTGGCAGGATTCCCTCTATCGCATGCGATGGGGCTTGGCCATAGTTACAGATATTTCAAAGGCCAGGCATGGTAAAGAATTAAAGTTCCTCCCTTTAATCCCAGAAGAACTGTGAGTTTGGGAGCAGCCTGGTCTACATAGTGAGTTCCAGGCAAACCAGAGTTATATATTGAGACCCTGTCTCAAACCCCATCCACCCCCAAAATAAGAATATTTGAAGGGATAGGGTTACAGTTCGGTTGGCGAAGTGCTTGCCGTGTGACCATGAGGACCTAAATCTACAGAGTCATCCAGTGCTGTTGCTTGATTCCACACAATGACACTTGGACACACATGCACACACTGGCATGTAATGCACACGTACATACACACACAGTATTTAAATTTAGGCAGGTGTGGTGGCACATGCTGGAATTTCAGCACTCACGCAGCTGAGGGAAGAAAATCATGAGTTCAAGGCCAGCATGGACTACTTAGGCTCTCTGTCGAAAACACGTGAGAAATGTAAGTAGGCACTTTCCTCGCATGATCAAGTCCCCGGATTTGTGATCCATCCCTGCACACACTCATCCCCACAGTCCTTCTGTGGGGCACACACAGCCCAGGAACAGTCTTCCCTGCGCTGACTCTGAGCACTCAAAGCCAGCATGCATCTGTGAGGACCCCACCCCTGCTGCATGGGAATCGCCCAGTCACGGGAGCCACGGGAGCCCGGCTGGTTGATTGTACTCTGGGATGTACGACTCAGACAGCCTCGTGAAGGACAGGCATGTGAGCAATGGCAGCTCCTCAGGCCGCTGGAGCTCACAGGAGCAGGAAGGCTGGAGAAGAGAAGAGCGTTAACACACGGTTCTGGGTAAGGCAAGCCGAGACACCTGCATCCTGCCACATCGTCCCTAGCAAGGAGCTCAGATGCCTTTTTTTTTTTAAGTTTTCTTTTTTTTAAAGATTTATTATTTATTATATATACCGTATTCTGCCTGTAGCCCAGAAGAGGGCGCCAGGTCTCATTACAGATGGTTGTGAGCTATCATGTGGTGCTGGGAATTGAACTCAGGACCTCTGGAAGAGCAGTCAGTGCTCTTAACCTCTGAGCCATCTCTCCAGCCCCCCTTTTTTTCTTTTTGATTATTTTTAGGATGTGTTTTGTTTTGTTTTGTTTTTGTTTTTTGTTTTCGAAATAGAATTTCTCTGTGTAACAGCCCTAGCTGTCCTGGAACTAGCTCTTGTAGACCAGGCTGGCCTTGAACTCACAGAGATCTGCCTTCCTCTGCCTCCCGAGTGCTGGAATTAAAGGTGTGCACCACCACTGCCCGGCCTATTTTTAGTTTTTTGGTTTTTATTTGTTTGTTTGAGATAGGGACTCACTATGTAGCTCTGACCTATGACCGGCCTACAACTCACTATAAATAGCATTGAACTCACAAAGATCCTCTGGCCTCTCCCTCCCGAGTGATGGGATTAATTGTATGTGCCACCTTACCTACCTTGCCTTCATTTTTAAAATGCGAAATGGTGTTTCCTATTTTATTGACCTCATCAGTTTGTGGTGCTAATTGTGAATAATTGAACGTGCTGTCAAATGTCCAGAGTAACATTTCAGGGTGTAGTCATGGGACCTTTTTTTATTATTTTGTTTTTCAACTTTTATTATATTTAGTGTGTGTATGTATGTGTGTCACTCTGTGTGTGTGTGTGTGTGTGTGTGTGCCACGTGGGCGGACTCAGAGGACAGCTTTCAGGAGCTGGTTCTCTCCTTCCATGATGCATATTCCAGGCTTTCAAGTCGGGTGGTCTTACCACTGAGCCATCTTGCTGGCCTAGAAACCTTTCATCACCAGATCCTGAGGAGGAGGTTAGAACTCTGTGCACAGACACATGCCTTCTTACATGGTGTCTGAGTAACTTAAGATCAAAAGACAGTTTTCCCCCCACAGAGTGTTGGCCTAGAAACTCAGTGGTGACTCCAGACAGACACTGATCGTGGATGCCTGTGGGCTGAGTCGCATTCCCCACAGGACTCAGGTTCAAGTCCTGACCCCAGAACTTCAGAATCTGACTCACTGGAGGTCGTACTGCTAAGGATGTAGTGAGCTGAGATGAGGCCATGCTAGTGAAGATGGTCCCGACCCTGTCCCTGCTGTCCTTAGAGGACACACAGGTGCACAGGACGGCAGCGACTAGAGTGACAGACTTACAACCAGGAACACCAGGAGCACCAGGAGCAAACATCAGAGGCCGATGTGGCCTGGAACAGGTCCTCTGCAGGCATTTACATGAAGCGCAGTGTCAGGTGTGGGCCTGCGTAGCAGGAGAGAATAACTCTGTTTGGAGCTAGTTCATGGACGTCTGTCCTGAAGCTGTGAGGAACTCCCGCAGACTCTGTAGAGCCAAGCCTGGGCTAGTCCTCCGACAAGCCCCGTCGGGCGCTGCTAATCCTGCCCATCTGAAGATAAGGTTGCTCTTGGGATGACACTCTTTCAGGACTTTGTTTTGTTTTTTGAGACACAATTTCTCTTTGTACCCCTGGCTGTCCTGGAACTCACTCTGTAGACCAGGCTGGCCTCAAACTCAGAGAGATCCATCTGTTTCCCAAGTGCTGGGATTAAAGGCACGTGCCACCAGCACCCAGCTTTCTTTCACCACCTACTTTCTTATAGAACCCAGGACCACCAGCCCAAGGATGGCTCCACCCACAAAGGGCTGGGCCCTCTCCCATCAATCACCAATTAAGGAAATGCTCTACAGGGGTGTCTACAGCCTGATCTTATGGAGGCATTTTCTCAATTGAGGTTCCCTCCTCTCTGAAGACTCTAGTGTATCAGGCTGACATAAAACCAGCCAGCAACTATCCCTTGCCAGCTCGACACAAACACATCACTGCTAAGCCACAGACCAAAAGTTCAGCCTGGCTGGGCGGTGGTGGCGCATATCTTTAATCCCAGCACTCAGAAGGCAGGAGGATCTCTGTGAATTTGAGGCCAGCCTGGTCTACAGAGCGAGTTCCAGGACAGGCTCCAAAGCTACATAGAGAAACCCTGTCTCGAAAAACAAAAACAAAGGAAAGTTCAGCCTGGGGCTGGAGTGATAGCTCAGTGGTTAGAGCACACCCTGATCTTACAGAGGACCCAAGTTCAATTCCCAGCACCCACATTGGGCAGTTTACACCTGCCTGTAACTTCCATTTTCAGGGGATCTGATATCTCTGGTCCCAGAGAGCACTGGCACTAACACACCTGTACGGCTTTGTTCACAGATACACATACATACATACACACATACATACATTCACACAATTAAAATAAATCTTTAAAAAAAGAGTTCAGCCTGTTTAAAAATCCCAAGCCTCTTTTAAAATCCATAGTCTAAAAAAAAAAAACCTAAAGCCTCACAACTATGGGTTTGGGTCGCTTCTCCAGCCCCACCTTCTGCTGCACACATGACTTGTGTTCTAAGCTGGGGCAGGCTCCACTCCACTGCTACTGCTGTTCCTGGTGTCGTCCCATGGTTCTGACATCTCCACACTTCTGGAACCTTCTGCTGCACCAGGGCTGTACTTTCGCCAATAGCCTCTCTGGACTGTCTTCGTGGCGTGACCCCTTTAGTCTCGGGCCACTGACAGCTGCTGGGGCCTCACCTTCACCCATGACCCCGCCTAATGCCACACGCCTCAGCTGCTCACCTTCACCCATGACCCCGCCTAGTGCCACACCTCAGCTGCTCACCTTCATCCATGACCCCGCCTAGTGCCACACCTCAGCTGCTCACCTTCACCCATGACCCCGCCTAGTGCCATGCCTCAGCTGCTCTCCATACCCCTTCATGCCTGCAAACCAGTCCCGCCTGGGTGACACTCACACATGACCACGTCAAGCTGCCAGCATGAGGTACAGCCTTGGCTGACTCTGGAACACAGCGTCTCTGTGCCCTCAGGAAACACTTCCCAGGTTTCACCTCAGTGATGCTGGTCTCTTCTTAATCACCACTCAGTTCTCAGCATCAGCTGATCAGCATCAATTATCCCATCAGTTGTAAAGCAAAAGTGCTGGTCTCCTCTTAATCATACCTAA